AAGATATCAAAAATGTTGATAAAATCAAGAGATTTTAGAGAAGTTGTGTTAAGATCTTTTTTCATTACCTTGTTTACGGTCCTTATAATAATACTTTCAATAGATAAAATATTCATAGCATTTAAAATAAAAGATGTAGATCCATTAATTTCCATGCAAATTAAAGATTTATCTAAAGAGGGATTTCCAGCATGGTCATCATTTATTTGTACGCAACGTATGACAGGTTTACGAGCGCAAACATTAAAAAGAGGAAAACCAAATGGCACGTCAACAACGGATGTGGCGACGGATTTACCTTTAGAGCACATTACTCAAACTACAACAGATAGTTTAGCAGCTGGGGATTGGACCTTACAATTAGGTTCTTGGCCCTGTTTTATATTTAATCCAGGAAACGTCAGGTTCAATCCTGGAGTGGTTGATCAAATCATTTTAATGGCTTTTGTTGAGGAAGGTGTAACCGTCCCTGTTGCTCCAAACAATTTATTGTTTGGCATATTTGATGAAGAAAGAAATATGTCAATCGTTGAACCTTTTGTTGGTCCAACTCCTTCTGTGAACACCTTTACTTTCACAAGAACTCAAAAAATTGATGTCGATAAAAGATTTCATTCTTACTTTTTTGTTAATAAACAAAATTCCAATCAATTGGTTGGAGGGTTTGAAGTGAAAAACATGGCTGCAAGATTTTTATATTCCCCAGACACATATTTGGTAAGATTCAAAACAACAGTTTTATTTCTTTCATATTGATCACACACTTTTTCTCATGTTTCTTTTGTACTAGGCGGTGACTTACACTGAGAGGAGGAAATATACACCATATGGTGAGAATTTACCTTTGTATTTTTTTATTTTCAGAGATGTGATTTTAAACCAATTTGATTTTATCCAGATCTAATCTCCGCCGTTGGTGGTCTGCTGACATATACTACGGCTGCCTGGTTTATTTTATTTGGGTAAATGCTTACCTCTTTTTTTTTTTTTTCAATAAAGAGAAAAGATATGACTACGAAATAATATCACGTATGATGCTAATAATAATCTGTATGAATAAAATTTATTTAGGAGGGGCAAGTACCGTTCATGGGGTCTAGTTCAGCGATATTTGTTGCACAGTTCACCAGATGCCATGAAAAAGGATGATAGCAATCGATTATTGCCAATTACTTACAAAGATCAAAAGGACTTGGAAAGTCAAATAAATAGCGGGTTAAGTCCAGCAACCGGAAGTTCATCAACTCCTGTAAGCGTCAACGCGTATACGCCTTCATTATATTATTTCTCGGCTACTGGAACTCCAACGCAACAAAATTTTCCTTTATCACCGACTAATCGAGTGTCAAGCTCAAAGAGCTTAAATAAAAGGATTGATGCTAGGATTAACCTGAAACTCTGGTTTGTCGAACAAACCTTGAGTCGACATTATCTTTCAGGATTTAAATTACGGAATTATGATGTTGATTTTAAAAAGTTTGGATTCGAAACCTATGATGATGATGAAGAAGCATTAGCTCCTCCAACCGCACATCAAAATTGGAATAATTTCAATCCAAGTATTCGTACTCCTGATCAGAATAGTCTTGGAAAATTTCAAACATCATCATCTCTTTCATCATCTCCTCGCGGAAGTCAAATGTTTCAAAATAATTTAAATCCGGAAGAAATGAGAACTCAATATCCAAATGTAACGTTAAATCAAGTGCCAAAGGAAAAGAAGAATAGGGTGAGAGATAGTAGAAGTGGTAGCGTTTCTACCAATGAAATAACGGTCGGCAAACCAATTGACGGGAATTATGTATCATCATCATCGTCGTTATCATCATCTCACTTTCCTAAATTTCCTGAACAATTACAACCTCGTTCAAACCCGAACCTTTTCCCAATATCACGAACTGATAATGAAAACACTAATCCAACACCACCATTACAATCAATAACATCACCTCCGCCGACAAATAATCCGGAAGATCGATACTGAGATTTCAACGAAATATTTCACGAAATCTTTGGATGTATAAGAATTTGCTAAATTATATTTATTTATTTATTTATAATTTATAATTATTTAAAAAAACATTTGTAATAACTTATAATAATATATTTGTAACAACATCATTAATAAATAAAGTATATATATATATTTGTTTTTAAAATTTTAAAAAATCGGGGGCAAAAATCACACAATTTCGACCAATCGACGCTAGTTGATTTAAACTTACCAAAAATAAACAAATTAAAATTTCGTCGAATGATCATTAAACACGATTCATTTATTTTTGTGATAACAATTATGTGATAAATGACGCGCCACCTTTTTTTTTATTTTGTTTTCAGCTTACAAATGAAGGGATGGAAAAAAAAAAATTTTGTCAAATCAAACGAAATAAAGAATTTCCTTTACCAGATCAATAAAGGTATACGAGCATGATACGCGTAATACATGAAACTCCAATGATAACGAAAATGCAACTTTTTCCGGAACATTTCCCACAAAAGTTAATTTCATTTTTATTTTTCCGGAAATGCATCCTGCAGTCTCGCGTTAGAGAAGGCCGAATATCATTGTACACAGTGCATTGCATTTTCGTTGTTCTTCATTACCCAATGAAAGCCGAATTCCCATATGTTGAAAAAGAAAAAATTCACAGGCGGAGTTTTCTAAACGATTAAAAATAACCTCTTTTGATTACTAAGTTAGTCAATCATTTACCTTTCATGTTTAGATATGGCACTTTTTAAAATATTTTAGAATAACTTGAATTTTCTGTATATATATAAAAAATAATATTTTTTTTTCCTTAAAAAAAAACACTAAATCCTAATTTATAACAAATCCTGTTTCTCAACTTTATGCTTATTCTTTACATCCTAATTTGGATGAGCTTTTCAGGGGTAAGACAAATGTTTAAATCGAGACAAAAAGAGAATCATTCATATTCGGCAATCATAATAATGGAACAAATTCATGAAATCACTCACGTAAAGTGGTGATTTGATCGTAATAAATACGCGATCAAAAAGGATCCGGCCCGAGTTAAACAACAATATCATGGGGATGTCATAAGATGACGAGAGAGTAGTAATCGGGGGGGGGGGAAGGGTGGAAAAAAAATATCATATGATAAATATAGATTATGAATTTAATCTTTAAAAATATAACCATTTAGGAAAAGATCGATTAACTGTATCCAGACTTTCTATGAGAAGCTTAAAATATTTAAGATTTATTTCTTAATGATCTATGAGTATAAAAAAGTTGCACTGCATGAGAAAGAAATTACAATGTGTCACAAGTGTATGTGGGCGCCAAAACTTATGACTAAAAAGTTGGAGCGGTAAGATCAACCTCGTGGATGTGGTATGACTGTAGGATTAAATAAACAATTGTCAAATTGTTAAAATGTTGTCTAGGCTCATGATAATCTATGTCATATTTCTACATTTATTTTTTGAGGGTTAAAATTTCTTACTAATATTTTGGAAAAATCTTATGAAAAAAAAAAAGGTTTCATCATATGCACTTATTTGATGGAATTTCCTTTTGGTAGGTTGAAAATCAAAAAAAAAAAAAAAATTATTTTATTTTTTAATATATAAACTTTCACGTCTTGACATGGGGGTAATTTCAACGCGCTATACCTTATCAGAACCGCGTCAAAAAAGGCGTATTTCAAAAAAAGTGAATAGTATTTTTTTTAATTTATCAAAAAAAATTTTAAAAAATAATACAACCCATATTTCTTTTTGTTGTCAAAAGAGATTGTTGTTCTCTGATTACCAATATCATCAACAAGATAAACAAGAACAATACTTCTCTATTGTTCAATGATTCATTGAATAGTGTAAACATCACAGAAAAAAAAGAGGAAAATAAAGAAAGATAGAGAGAAACCCGTTTTCTTAGTGGTTACATTATTGCAGATATGTGTACAAACAAGAAATATTAAATGCGTCTGATATTTTTCCCGCGGTATCGTGTTCTTTTTGATGAGAACCTCTTTTTTACTTATTTTTTTTTGGTTCATTTCTTTTCTTTTTGAATGAAATAAAATGAGTGAAATCTTTTGTCTCATCTCAAATTAAAACAATACGAAGGATTTACGCGGTTGATTTAATTCCCTTTTATTGAAGGTGTGGTGTCACCTTTCTCTACTTTTAATGATTTCCCAATACATGAACCCTTGATAAATTTTTTTTTGTACAAGAGAGAAAAAAAAAAACTTTAATTTATTTATTTATGGCTGCGGTACTTTATAATATATATATATATATATATATTTTGGCCCCCAATTTAATGATATCTTACACGATTAAGAAACCTTTTTTTTTTTATAAAGAAACAAATTTAACTTTATTATTACATACATAAATAGAATAGTATAAAAATAATAATTTTTTTTTTTTTAAGAATAGATTTTAAGTGTAAGTAACATAAAAAATAATGTAAAAAAAAGTTTTTGGAGTTACACGATATTGTCACACAATTTAACACGTTCATGTAATTTCTATTGTATAATCGATCTTCAAATGATTTTCTTACTTTAAGGTTTGATTTCGTCATCAATTGAATGACGTTCCTCTAATTTATCTGATTGAAATTTGTTAAGAATTTTTTTTTTTTTTTAATTAAAATAAAATGATGATAATAATGCCCGTTAAAACCTATTGTTATTATCGTGGCGGGGTGGCGTTTTTCCCAAGGGATTCAAACCCCCCTCTCTCTGAACAAACTTTTTTTCATGACTTGGACCAGCCTTTCCGTCGTTCTTGAACTCAAAAAAAACAATATAACTAGTGTTGTTGCTTAATTTATGCCTAACTTAACTTTCGCCTAAACAAAATATCAACTTTATCAAGAGAAGCAAAAAGCTTTATTATTTATTTCAAATAAAATTTTATTTCAAACTTTTACTATTGTAAAAAGAGATTTAAATTCGAATCTTTTTTTTTTAAAAAAAAAAAAATTTGAGAGTAATCATTATAATAAAGCAAGTATGCCTGCTACACGTAAACACCTTCACATTTCGAAACCCCGCCGTCGTCAACGTTCCGTGAGTCTTACCACTCGAGCTTCACGTTGTGGGGTAAAAAATTATATTAACGTTCTCAAGAGTATTCACCCTTCCGTTGAGACCTTTTTTCCGGTAACGAAGCAATATCTGCAAGAGTATATTGACGCAAAGAAGAAGCAGGGTACTATCAAGGCGAACTCTTTGGACCAATATTTTCAACACATTGAAAGTTATAATATGGCTCTTGGTCATGGTTGGGACTCTCAAGAATTTGAACCCATGATGCGTGATGTATTGGAAGAATTGGTTCAAAACGAGGAAAGGACCGGTCAACGAAAAACCACTTCAACAGCACCTGGTGACGATGATGATGAAAGTTTGGGTCAGGATGACATAAACGGTATCTTATCCTTTTCGGGAGGGATTTTTTTTTCCTTCCTTTCCTTTTTCTTTTTCTTTTTATTTCATGTTGAAGAATCGTGTATTGATCCATTTTTCCTTTTCTTGTTTTGATCAAAGATTCGTCATCAATCCAAATCGTTTGCTTTGACATGTTACATGTCCCTCCCGTTAAACTCGAGCGCAACGCGCGAATTCCCATGGTAACCAACGATGAGACGATGATTTCCCTCCCTTATTTACACAACGCAATCGCAACCGCAAAGTTTCCAAAGAAATGGGGAAAGGTTGATAGATCTATGATCTATTATCGAACCGAAACGTGGAAGGATGCACCACATTACGGGTTGTCTGATGAAAATGCCTTTAAGAATTTCTGTGAAAGTTGGTCAAATCAAAGAGAGGGTAGTGAAGTTCAATTGGTTTTATATGCCAAGCCACGCAGCACGACTCCAGGTAATGTGATCGATCGCTTAACGTCTGTATTACGTTTGAAATCTTTAAATACAAATAATTTATTAAATATTTCCTTCATTCAGCCGCCACGATCCAACCTTTGCAATTGCCATCGAATAGTGATTCGACTATGATTTCATCAAATATTCCTTTGGCGCCTCTCACTCCTCGTAAAAGTCCACCTCGCTTACAACAAATTCCTTCTCTCGATTTTAGTCCAGGTCCAGGTACGTGAATTGATCGTTTCCGTTGTCGTGATTAATATAATATATAAAAGATTTGATCTCACGAATGTATAAAATTTATCAGATAGCGCAACACCATCACCGACCTTCATACAACTCAAATCCGTCACCATCCGATCACCCACCAGAATCTACAAACAGAATATCGCCGTTTCAGACAAAACAACATTTTCTTCACTTTTGTCTTTTGCTATCAAGAAACCAGCACCACAAGGAAAGCAATTTGTTTTACAAAGCGCAGATGGGGAATTGGAATATATGCCGGAGGATCCAGTTAGGAAAGTGATTTACGGTTCACTTCATGCGGATGTGATCGTAAAGATGGAAGATGTCAGGGAGGTTGACTTTGCACAATTTTAGTGAGCACGTGATTACGTAAATCATCTTTCAACATATATTTCGATCAGGGGAGCGGAGATTATTTTTAAATTATCCTTAGCGATCTACATTGGTAGATTTTCCGTCAAAGATTTATTAATGGTTGATGGAAATGGTTTACTTTACCTTCATTCACATGGCATGTATTGGAATTATTGAACATTGAAAAAACCAAAAAAAAAAAAGTATTTACTATTCTCATGCTATATAATACAATAGCATATTTCTTTGATTTATTTTCCTTTTTTTTTATTTGATTATGTACAGAAAAAAAAAAAAAAAAACAAAAACAAAAAAAAATCTTTTAAAAAAACCGAACAATTTTTCCTTTTCCTTTTCCTTTCCTTTTTTTTTTTTACCGTTATTTTTCTTTTCTTTAGTTTTTTTTTTCTTTGAATTATTTTTTTTTTTATTTTTTTTTTTTTTAAAGTAGTAAAGAAGAGGTGGTGACGATGTGAGAGAAATTTTTGATCCGTCAGATTTTTTAAAATAATAAACATTGAAAATTTCCATTTTATTCGTATAATAAAGGTCAGGTTAATCTATATTAGATTAGTATTCAATGACTAATTTAATTGTGTCACCTAAAATGATTACTTTTATTAACCTAATTAAACCAGTCTAAAAATAGATCACTAAAAACTATAAAAATATTTTTAAACTATTAATTAAAAAAATTTTTATAAAAAAATAAAAGATCGGAATTATAATTTTCATCAAATTTGGTATCTGGTGGCGTTATTAAAGATTTTAAAGTTGTGTTTGGTAGCACTATAATTATAGTTTGACAGCTTGGCAGATCCTTTTTTTTTTTCTTTGTAAGACTTAATATCCCAAACATTGGGCCGTGTATAACGCGATATGGACGTTATATAAGAAAACAAATTTAGAAGAGAAGATTTGTGATAAGGACATCTACGATATATTTTGAATATTCAAAAAGAAAATTTTGTAAGGAATGTAAGAATAATATCGCAAAAAAAAAAAAAAAAAAAAAAAAAAAAAAAAAAAAAAATTGATAAATTTCTTTTGACGGTTGTAATCCGATGACCTGTTACAAATTAACAAATATGCACCAAATGTTGAACCTAGTAACGTGGAATAGTAACAAATGATGTTACATCGAAGTTGTTATACGGCGGTACTATATAACGTAATGCGATATATTTGCAGGGGATATCTATATCGAAAACAAAACAATCCCCCCTTCATGACTAAAGTATATCGTTTTAAAATGATAGTTCATCGATTGTGATAATAGGCTGTGTTTGGTGATGATTTATGTGATGGTATCGTAATGCGCGAAAAGGTTTCGGGGAATTAAAAAGTCTTTCTTTGGAAATCTGGGGGTATTTTTTTAAAATCATTTTTCGTGTTTCATAAAAATGCCTAATCTAGTCGAACTAATCGAAATAGTAAACTATTTTTTTTTTAAAAATAGATTATGGATCGACCTAGTGCTTGCTTTACTGATCATGCCTAAAAAGGGAAGATTTGATTTTTTAAATCAAAAATCTTGGCATTATAAGCCGATTTTTTTTGACGATACAAGTTTTCTATAAAAAGATCGATTTACTAAAAAAAAAAAAAAAACCACATTCAAAAAACCCATTCAATAAACGCATGGGAAAAATTTTATAGGTGTCTATTATATAGATTATTGAAAAATTCTTTAAAAGTAAGGCGCACGGTTTTAGAGATGATCGGCACAGATTATCATGAAAATTCCGTGATTTCAACATCCCAATGATGGAAATTCGGAATCTTGCTCATGTAACATCTCGTCATTTCGAAAGATGATGGAATCATCAAAAATGACTTGCCAAAAAAAATATAATTTTTTTTCCCCTTTAAACAATGTTCCTGAAAATTTTCCAACCAGTAATCAATCATTTTAACAAATTAATTGGTTGAATTGAAATCGTTTTCGAGGCCAATCGATAATTTAATCAGGGTGTAACGATGGGTTGATTGGTCGCATTTATTTGTAAATACTATCCATCACATGATAAATTGCATTATATAAATGAACAAAAAATTTCTTCCTTTTAACCTTAAAAAATTCTTATTTTAGTCTTTTCCGATATTTTAACAGGTTATCTATATAACGAAACGTGAATTTATGTTGACAAAGCTCATTGGTCAATCTTTGTTTTAAAATTCCATAATAAACCTCCCTTTCATGAAGGAATTCCTTAATTTTTTGACACATGAGAGATTAAAGAAACCAATAAAAATGGGATGTGATGATCATCAACACCCTTTTGCTCTTTTTGAACTTCTAAAACGGAATCAAAAAAAAAAAATCTTTTGCACGAATAAAAAGGACAAATTTGATAATTGATAACATGAACCTGTAGTTGAAAAGGTATGTTATATTTGACGATCTTTGAAATCATAATAAATCAATCAGGACCATTTTTGGATTGATTGTTGAGAAAATCATGTTCTGGGAGGTTTTCAACAGGTTGGGAGAATTCCTCATGGCGCAATAAAGATCTTTAAAAATTTTTACCTGAAAAAAAAAAAAAAAAATCCTTAGAACAATCTTTTATTTACGAGAAACGCGTTTAATTTGTCTGTATAAACTTACATCAAGGGGTCGAATTGCCTCTAGAAATCACGTCATAATGGACTTTTGAAGGTCGAAATGTTTCAAATGACGTCGGAATTTCGGAATTACAAAATCTTAAATTTTTATTTTATTTTTATTTTTTTTTTTTATACAATACAACAAGGCTTTTTGTTGTTTCATTATAAACAAATAAAAGCGCATCATCTCTTTTTTTTTTTTTTTTTTTGCAGAAATCACGAAAAAAAAGCACAAGTCTCTAATTCTGTTCGCAAAAAAAAAAACAAATAAAGTCAACAAGCTGAACAAGTAACATCATCTGATGGAAGTTACCCCATTTGATGCTAAAACAAATTTAGAAATTCGATACGCCAATGGGTATTGCACGTGATTCACGACATTATTGGGCGTTTTATCGTCCACCCAGATGTTTGAATGATCAAGGTTTCCTGGATATTCTACCTGTTTTTGGAATTGCGTTATTGTTGGGTAGCAATCCAATTTGGTCATATTGCTGATTTAGATATTCATCATTTAAACTCCAAATAAAGTTTTTTTTTCCCTTAAAACAAATAATTCTTTGCACGACGTTAATAAAGATGTGCATTGTGCTCCAAAACCCAACCTACTTCTTTGTTTTCTACATAAAACTTTTAGGGAGAATCTTTTTTTTTTTTATTTTCCCTTTGATAAAAATACGAAATACCAAACGGTTTGTTCTCTTCCCTCCTTTTGGCGTTAAATTTTCAATAATAAACCTTTTTTAAAAACATGCATTGTTATCGGATCTTTTTAATAAGTTTTCCATTATAAATTAATTAAGGCTTGGGTCCTCATCAAAGGCTATAACCAATGCGTTATTATTAATGTCGTGCTTGCTGATTAATGTTTTTAGTTATGTTTGGAGAACTTCCCTTTGCATTTAATAATAAACTAATTTGCTAGATTGGTTATAATGTACGCCAAACAACGTCATGAACTGCGGAATTGGTTTGATTTCACGGTCCTGATTGGTCATCATCCATTACCGAATTAGGTAAATGCTATGAAGAATCATGGGAATGCATACTATTGTCGCACCTCTTCTGTCATACGATGTGCATAAAAAGGGTTTTCTTTCTCGTGAAAAGGTAAAAAAAATATATATATTTTTTTTTTTTTTCGCGATATTTTTTTTTACTCTTGTTTTGTGAAAAAAAAAAAAAAAAAAAAAAAACAAAATAAACAAAAAAATAATTTTAACAATTCTTACAAATTTTTCATCTCCCCCTCCCCTCCCCCCTTTTTTTTTTGCAATTGAAATACTTCTTGTTTTATAATAATATTTTCCTTTTTAGAATTTATTATGAATTTGTATACAATTTATACTAATAAAAAAGTGCCGGAACTTCGTGACATGTGTGCTGGTAAGTTCCCACCCTGGTGACCTTGTCGGTTTTTTCAAGACAAACGTTGATGAGGTTGACGTTGTTTATGAAACGTTGATTAAAATTTTTGTGAATTTAGCTCGCAAGCTTATTACTCATGGTAATAAGACAACATTGATTGAACGTTTAATGAAATCAGACAATCATGTAAAGATAGAGGAGAACGAAATGCAACTTGACGTTGCCGTTCCTATCAATCAACAACAGCAACAACATCACCAGCATCAACAACTATCACTACAAGCATTAAATTCACAGACTTCAGAGACTGGGCCTTCACATGAAACTTTGAGTAATGTAAAATACGAGTACGAACCTACACTTGATGCAATGGCCACGGAGGAAATCCCTCCCTCCGAAGAGTTAGCTTTACCTCAACAGCCCTTAGAGCAGGATATCCCCACAAACGTTGACATGCCCATTGAATATTCGGAATCAATAAATCCCGTTGCGAAACAGCAGCAGCAGCAAAAGCAAATCAATCATCCTCCCGTATCATCTTCACTGCCCACATCCACCACATCGCCAGCATTAACTCACCCTGATATTTCTTCTTCTTCGACTAATAATAACTTGAAACAGAATCGCAATAATCTATCCCAACCTTTTGAACCTTCAGCAGAATTGTCTCCCACATATCAAAGAGATGAACCTCAATGTTAGATAGATCGTGATCTCTTGGCTCGTCTTATTTCAGAAAGAAAGTATGGAACCCAAAATTTATATTCCTTATCAAGAGGAATCATGTTGACCCCAAGTCGACCAGGGATACCATATAGCTATGATTTACTGTTGGAGATAGTACAAGGATCATTAACACATAGAGATGGGGAAATACCTCTTTGGTTAAAAGATTCTTATGACACAACGTTTGGGACGTCATATTTTGGTGAACCAGAATGCACTCGTAATCCTGGCATACCCGTGGAAGATTTATTTTTGAATGGATTTTGATTTGTCGAATAGTTCACATTTTCCTTACTCTTTTTTTTTTTTTTTTTAAAAAAAAAAAATCTTATATGCTTTTAGATCTTAAAATTGTATTTGAAGGTATCTTCTATTTTTAAAAAATATAATTAATTTTAATCTTTAATCTTTGAATTAACTGAATTTTATTTTCTCCTCTATTTTTTGATATAGTAATTTTTTTGAGTCACTGGGTTCAAACCATTATGTAATATCAATCAATGATAAATATTGTATGGATTTTAGCTGGTTTTAAAGTTGTAAACATTTGATTAAAAATTGGGATAATGAATCACTGTAAATAAAGAGCTAGTAATAGTTAGTAAGTAGGTATTGCAATTGACACTTGAAAATAATAATTATAATCATCAAGAATATTATTACGATTGCTTCGTTAGGGCGGATCTAGTCATTAAAAAAGATTGGCATTGACGTTTCAATGAGGGTTTAGCCTGTTTAGGAACTTTATGATGACACGATGATTGACTTAATTAAACTTGTAAATGTTCGAATAATGATAGTAACAATCATAATAATATTAATAATTTAAAATTATTATTATTTAATTATTATTTAACCCACATTTTAAGAAAATCCATTCCTCTTTATTATTGTTATTCCTATTCATATTCTTATTATTATTATTACTTTTTAGCCACATATCCAAAAAGGAAATTACCTTACTTTTTTATCATTTTATGGTAGCCCATAATATAAATAATAATATTATAAATAATAATCTTTTTAATGTGTATATTAAATAATATATTAGAAATCAAAGAAAATTATTATTATTTAGATAAATAAAAGAAGACCAATGTGAAAGCAGAGTGCACGAGTTCACTTTCTGATTCCCGATTGGCTCATATATTTCACGTGATAAAGATAATTTTATTGTAAAAAAAAAAAGGTGAAACGTAATGAAACTGAATCGAACAAATGAATGACGGACGTAATGAGGTTTCATTAGATTACAGGGGATTTAATTAATTACGAGTCTTTATCTTTGCCAAAAAGTTATAATCTCTACATAAGACTCTAATCTATATTAAGCGTGTAATCTTTTTTTCAAACTTTGCCAGCGATTTTGTAAACTTTTCGTGTTCCTTTCGGGTAATTTGACGATAATGGTTGACCAAGGAATAGGAGGTAATAATTCCAAGATGCTTTCTATCAAAATTTTATCTTCATCAGGAGTCCAGGTTGCACCTGAAGTACCTTTCTTTGGCGAAGTGGCTCTAGCGCGAGGCGATTTCACCGAAGAGGTTGGTGAGTGAGGTGACCTTTGCGATGAGGTGGTCGATGAGCGAATTGATCTAGGACTTTTACGAAGTTTACGTGAGGAAGATCTTAGGGAAAGTTTTCTTTTCTTTGACGGAGTCGTCGATGATTCCTGAACGGAAAACGAGTACACAAAAAAAAAAGGAAAGAAAAAGAAAGTTAACGAGATCGCCAAAATGATATGATAAGATTCAATTCATATGGTCTATATGTACTTCGTCTTCTTCTTGATCCACTTTCTTATTTTTCGTATCATCATCGTCTTCACGTTTACCGGTGGTACGATCTCTTAAATTTTCCATTTGTTTCAGATAGCTTATTTTTGAAGAAAAAAGAAAGAAATATTAAAGAAGGAATGAAGTTTTTTTCTAAAAAAAATCGTAGTGGATCAATCCAAGTCTTAATTCTTTTTTTTTTTTTTTTCAATTCAGGCTACTTTTAAAGCAACTAGAATTCCGTGAAAATAAATAAATTTTTTTTTTTTCTGTATCAATCATTAGGGTAAGGAGTATAAGAAAAAAAAATAGTCAATGTTATTGTTAGGGCTGTATTTCGTATACTTTAAGTATACTTTTTTTTTTTAACATAAAAATCACGAAAAAGTTTGATAACATATTTTTAATTATGCAATAGTCTTGGCATTTGCAGAAGTATGTGAAAATGATCCTTTTTTTTTATTTTATTTTTTTTTTTTTGCATGATTAATATTATCATCTTTTGTTTTATTTTAATTAAGAAGGCTAGAAACTAACAATCATGATTTAATTAGTCATTATTTCGTTTCATGCGATCCATGTAATGATAATAAATCAATGATGGCACAAAAAAAAAAAATTTGCTGCGGCAAGATAATTTTTTTTTAAAAAAAAACAATTGTAACGAGTTACTTTATTAAGGAAAAAAAAATTTTTTTAAGGTTAGATTTTTTTATGGTTCATGTTTGCTATATTTAATAAATAATTTGAAACATGAAACATGTTTAGAACCCTGCTGCCATTAATTATTAGTGCACATTGAGCATTATCTTTTTGAACCAAGATATTCGATCGGACGCATTTAAATTTCTTTCTCCTTCAGGCTAATTAATTGTTGGAATGCTACATTAATTAATGCCTGCAATTGTTCATCTCGCATTCTTTATTTAAAGGTTCACTCATTTGTAAACGAGGGGCGTTTTACCTAAAAAAAAAATAAATTTGCCCTAAAAATAAATTCGTACCACGCACCCTTACAGGTTTTTTTTTTTTTTTTTTTTTTTTTTTTTTTTTAAAAAAAAAGAACCCAAAAAAAATTTCAAGAAGAAAATCCTTTATGTCAAAGTGATGCAAAAAGCGTGTGCAGACAAAATTGATGCTTTTTTTTTAATTCGGGATCCATTCCTTTTCGGTTGTTGATGCACCCATTAAATGTATAAAATTGCAGAACATGAATGTTTTGCGTGTGTGTCACATACAAAGTTCCTAACTTCATTTGGCAATTTTATAAGTTACTCGCGGAGTAAGGAGCATAGACAGGGGGTAGCACATTTCTTAAAACTTTTTTTAAGGAACTAGATCAGGAGAATCCACCTAGTTCTCTTGTCACCAAGAAATCTATCCCTTACCTAATGTTCGGACTCTCGCGCAACTGATGTTTTTTGATCTTCCGATTCAGAACATTTTATAACTTCAAAAAAAATTTTTTTATCATAATTTGATCCCTTTTTCCCAGCACTCACCCAAAACCAAAATGTTTCATGACGTCGAGAATTTTTTTTTTCATGCCAAAATGTATGAAAAGTTTTTCATATCATGCGATGAGAATATGATATCTATATACCGCATTGATGTAATACCGTTTGAATAATACATTTTCAAGAATTACCATTAATCCATCATCATTTACTGCAAGTATTATCACAAGTTAGAAATCTTGTAAAGTAATTCTCACTAAAATAGCGAATTACTTAGCCTACTTCATCTTTTGAGGCTTCTGGCTGATCAGAGGGTAACGCGCACTTTTCATTAAAAATTCCTTTTTCTCAAACAACATTTTTCAAAAACTAATTGAATCAACTGAACCGTAATGCCTTTCAAATACCCGGTTTTTAAAATTCATCAGAAAGAGTCTGATTTTTTGTCATTGTTGAACATTCCAGAGCACTGAAATGCCCACCCACCTGGTCCTTTCGCAAGTATGAAGTATCACCAGTACAAGCACAGAAGTTATTGAATAACATCACATTTCAGGTGGCCGGTCTCAATTAATGAATGAGACGGAACAAGACTTCTTTTATTAGCAGACGATAGTGAATCCGGCTTTGCCTCATCTCCTTGAAAATCTCGATAAAAAATTTTTATGACCACAAGGAAGGCTGTTGGTATAAACAGGAAGTATTGAAACACGGGTTAGAGAAGCTTGGCGCCGAATAGTTATTGTGAGAATCTCCTCCAGCAAGGACAATTTCTTCTCTACGTGCTAGAAGTGACATACACGGACTTAATTTCAATATCAGTACCATATTAGTATCAATTGGTATCAATTAGTGTCAATTAGTATCAAAAAAATTAATGCAAGAGAACAAATTTGTATCAATGCCTAGCGCACAATTTGAGGATGTATTTTTTCAGCAGCTATTACGTTCTTCTAGCAACTAATTTGCGTCTAATTGCTTAATCACAATAAAGATTAATATTCAAGTCTGAAGATTAGACCACATATCTGCTAAACTTCAGCATAAATTTTCGTGATCCGTCGAAGTTGGTCGATATGAATTATTCTGAAAATATGATGATTAATGAAAAATAATACAGTTCAAATGAGATTCGTCATCAATAAGTTATCGTATGATCGTTTTTTTTTTAATAAGGTCAATTTTCCTTTGTAAACGACCAAGGATATAATTGTTAAAAGCGGTGATGTGCTCTTGGAGATTGGAAGCATTTGGTAAGTAATAAAGCCATTTGGATTGGAAACTTTCAATCAAGATTTTTAATTCATAAATATCTGTGTATTTTTTAAAATTAATTTATAAATATAAATATATATTGTATTAGAGTAAATTTTATCTTTAATTATTATAATAAAAATCTAAAATTATTTATAAAGTTAAAAACTATTTGGAACTTTGCCAGTAAATCAAATTATGAGATATAAGATTTATTATATCTCATGGCTTGATTTTACTATACCAGTATCAAAAATTATTTATATGACTGAAAAATTGAAGTTAATGCAAAAAAATATTTGTGAAAAGACTTGCAACTTTTCAAATAAAGTTTATTTTAATAATTAACTTTAATATAATATTTTTTTATAATATATAATATCTAAATCTAAATATTATTATATATAATTTTAGATATTCTATAAATTTTTTTTTAATAATATAAAAAAGAAAAACATATATTTTAGTCTTTATAAAAAAAATACTTATCAAAAAATTAAAAAATTTTAAATCTTAATACAAACTGTTATTAATTTATAAAAATATTTTTTTATATTTTATATATATTTTTTTTTAATCCAACATTCTTTTATTTTTCTAGACATCATTTATATTAATTTGTGTAATTAATTATATTTACAGTTAAAAATTATAAACAAAATTAAAAATTATTGTAAGTAATTTCAGATAAATTTATCTAGAATTTTACTACAAAATTTCTTCTCATTATTTTTAAAAAATGAAAACTTTTAAAAAATTTAATATTTAATTGACAATCTGCATGTGATAGGTAGAAATTTTATATGATAACTATAGGAGGACTATGATTTATAATTAAAATATGTTTATTTTAAATTTCACATTTCTAACTAATTTCATTTTTAAAAATTTTAAACAAATACTATACTTCTAAAAATATTATTTTTATAGATAATCTCATTTAGAACTTTATTATAGTCTATTTTTATGAAATTAAGTACTTTTCTGATCCTAAATCTGAAAATTCTAATATATATTCTATTCTGTTAAGACTTGATTTTCAAATTACTTTAAACTCAAATAAAAATATTTTATTATTAAAATAGTTTACAATTTAAAAATCTAAATATGCCAAGATTTATTTGTGAAAGAAAGAGAATTAATAGCAGAGTATTATTTAGTTCTTCTAAAGTTATAAATACTGCTTATAGACTAGTATTTAATCAAAATAAAATAAAATACCCAGGAATAATATTATTAGATTTTCATAATATTTATTAACAAATATTTGATAATGTGAATTTTCATCTTTTTACTATTTGTTTACATAATATTAGTATTTTTATAGTATTTATTTTAAATAAAATAATAGTGAAAGGTTTGCATCTTATTTTATATATAAATATAGATAAAAACAAAGTGTAATTTGATAAAAGATTATAAAGAATTATTTACAATTAGTATTTTTTAAAATAATAAAATAATAAAGCAATTTTAAAATAATCTGCTTTTTTATTTTAAAAATAAATTAAACTATTGTAATATTATAATAGTAACAATTTTTTTAGAATAAATTATCCACTTATATAATTTAAAACTAAAGAATTATATGAAATATTTTCTAAGATTTGAATTCTTGATAATTGAAATATTAAAAAAATAATACAACACATATCCAAATTATATTTAAAAAAATATGTATTCAGAAATGAAGAGATTTAGCATTGTATTTTTAATTATTAATATAATCAATAAAGTACAATTATTAAAACAAAAAGTTTTATTAATAAAGTTTATAATGATAATCATAAAATTAGTATGTGAAATTTGAGTATAAAAAATAAATTTGAAGTAATTAATGTAAAATATTACTCTATTTAAAGATAATATTTCTAATATAAATATTATTTAAAAATTGATTGTTTTTTATTTATTATCTAATTATAAAATGTATTCTATAGATGGAATTTTGAAGTTATACTAAAGATTTTAAAAGTAATAAAAAAACTATTTTTAACTTATATTTAAATGGATTTTTAAATATTATATTAAATTCAATAATAAAAAATGAAGAATTTGAAAATTATAAATATACTGCAAATGTTTTTTAAAATTTATTTCATAAAAGTTTTGATATTAATCCTGATAGTTCAAATAGAAAAGATAGAATTTTATCAATAATTATTGAGAATTTTATTTATGAAGAATTAATAGAAAATTTATAAGTATTATATAAATATTAAACATAATTATATGTGTAAATGATAAATATAAAATTTGATAAAAATTTACCTAGATTTTGTTAAAAATAATTTACACTACCTGTGAATATATCATAAAAATAATCTAAACACAAAATAGTTAATAAACCTATTATTATTTATAAAAAATAGATGAGATTAAATAAAAGAAATTTGAATTATTTTTTATTAAAAAAAGCAAATATAAATAAGAGTTCATATCATATTGATAAAAAAATACAATTACTTAAATTTTTATAATTAAAAAATAAGCATTATTAAAGGTCTAAAATATTTAAATTAGTTGGTAATGTAAAATTAACAAATATAATACTAATTGTCTAAAGATAATAATATATATTAAATAATATTTTAGAGAATAAAAAAGTAATAAAAATCTTAAATTATACATAATATTATTTCTTAAATTATCTAATAAGTAAATTTGCCTGTAAATTTAAAAAATAAGAATTAATTTTTTTAATAAAATATTAAATATTAATTTAATAATATAGTATTTATATGAAAAAATTTTAAAAATTTATTATAATAATTTTTAAAAATTTTTTTAAAATTCATATTTACAAACTAATTAAATCACTTTATTATTAATAAAAGTTATAAAATTCTTAATAACTTATAAAAATTATAATAATTAAAATTATTTTTCATGATTAATTTATAATATAATTTAAGGGATAATATTATTAGTCAAAATGATATTTATATGATTAAATAGAAAATTTGCTATTAAAATTAAGTTATAAAAATAATAAATCATATGATCTATAATATAATTTTAATAGCTTACTTTCTAAATATAACACTTATTAAAAATCAGTATCACTTATAAAATACAAATATATTAAATATATATTATGAAAAAAATATCTTTTCTAATGTATATTTATATATATATATTTTTTAAAAAAATAAGTTTAAATTTATGGAAGTATAAAAATTAATCATTTTTCTTAATCTTTCTCTCTTATAATTCTTATAAAATTTAATAAATAAAATCTTTTAAATAAAAATGAATTAAAAAGAATATTTTTTAAAAGTATAGACCTAGAAAATCATAATATATAATAAGCTAGTAGCAAATTCTTTTAAAATTTATTATGATATTAAGTTTAAATACTATATCGTTAGGATAATAAAGCTTATTTACTAATAAAAAATTTAAGTTATTAAACTATAAAAAAATTAAATATGAATTATTTAAATTAAAAGGTCAAATTATCTTTTTAATAATTTATATTTTAAGGAAATAGATATAGTAAATATATAAGTTTTACATTATTAAAATTATATTTTATTGAATGGTAAAATAAAAACTTATTCTTTTTGTTAAAGTGATAATACAGAATATTTATATAAAATATAAGTATAATAAAGAGATATTAATTTAACAAAGGTAATAAATATAACTATAATAATAATAATAGTAAATAAAATAATGATAAATGATAAAATAAAGATAATAAATAATATAATGATAGTTACAATATAATGAAATCAGTAATAATGTGATCACATTTTTCATAAAAATCATTAGTAATTCTAATTAGTGTAATTATTTAGTAATATATATATATTATTACTAGTAATAATCTTTTACAACATTAATTCTTGATTCTTATGTATTCTAATAATTTATATAAGATAAATAGAAATGTATAAATACAAATAATATTTTTTTTCTTTCTAAATATATTTAATAAGTAAATTAAAACTAATTTTTTACCTCTTATAATTAAAATAACTGATTTAAATAATTATTAAATTTCATTAGAACTGTATTAAAAAGAAAAATTAACCTTAATAGTTTGAAAATAATTTTTTAAATAAAATCTACTGAATCATTAACTTTTATTTATAAGTTGACTTTAAGTATAACTTTTATATCTTATGTTAATATAATTCAAAGTCTTTTATTATATCAGAATTAGTTTTATATATTTTACTAATATCTATATAAATTGTATTAATTCTAGTAAAAAATAATTTATCAATTTAAGCTTATTAATATTAAATTTATTAATATTAATTTTTTAAGATAGATCTATATAA